AGGTCAAAGCCAAAGACACTGGGAACTCCAAATCCCAGTGTCTTTGGCTTTGACCTGGGGTGGAGTCCACAAAGCCTGTATGGAATTTGCTTTGGGACTGCCTTTTCCTAACACTTTGAGGAAGCTTAGCCTGGCTCTCCCTGTCTTTACCACGCGGAACCTTTCAGTTCTGTGCTCAAATTGTAACAGGGTGGTAACAGGGTGTAACTGTGGAGCGTTGGTGTTTTAATTAGCAAATGTATGCCTGGGTGTTAAGGAAAGAGTAGCCTTAAGCAGTAACTGGTAATCGCTGGTAGCCTTGATGGATTCTTGGAGATAACTTGAATTTTTGCAAAGTCTGGATCAGAAAAATTAACAAGATTTTGTCTGAGTCTGAAAGGATTTGCTGCTGTGAATTTTGTCTACACAATTTGTTTTGGGCATGTTTGCCATTTTGAATACTGGATTTGTTCAATTGCTGGTGTAAGACAAGATTCTAAGTTTCTGCTTCCTACTGAGGAAGGTCTGTTATGGAAAGCACTCTTTAGGGTGCATCATGTAACTGTACCAGGTTTTCATACCTGTGTTGTTGTTGTCCCTCCCTAGTGTGGGGGAGGTGTAATTTGTGCTTAGATGTTTAATCTGCTCTTTCAGCTTCTGTCCCAGAGTGGCTAACAGAAGTAAGGAGATGACTCCTTTTAATTGAAAGTTAATTACTGATAATTTGATTTTGCTTTTTCAGGTTCTATTCCAGGAAACCCAAGGAGTGCCTGCTTGGTGGCTAACAAGAGATGACTCCTTTTGCTTAAAAGTTAACTTTTATTCTTTCAGTTGCTGTACAGAATACCCCAGGATTGACTTCTAATAAAAAGTCTTCAACACTGAAAACCCTAAGGTGATAAACAAGGTCATGTAACTCCTGTGATTAATAAAACTTTTCCTTCCTATTTCCAAAGTCTTAGGTTTGCAGGATGACAACTGGAAATTTTTCTGCCAGCAACACTCCACATTTTTTTGGACTTTGATATTTTTTTTTCTGAGCCTATGGAGTAAAACTGCAGTTACATAACATATTCTACATGGCATAACTAAAAAAAAAAAACTGTCTTTGTCTATATGTTGTATGTCTGTATGTCCTTGTGTCTAACTGTCTTGACCTCCAGTGATTGACAAATTGGTATACATGGTGCCCATAGAAGTTGAAAAAAAAAAAGTCTCCAGTCATGAGAAAAATAAAGGTTATGGTTTGATTGTCAACATTGTGCTACTGAACTAAGCCGGTGCCTTCATAGACATTAAATATTGTTGTTTCTGTTAATTTTCTGATATTTATGGCAAAGCTTCCCAGAAATCTAAATTCAAGTACAAATTTGGTAGCCTGTCATTTGACTGATGCAAGGAAATTTTGTGGAACCTCAGTAGAGCTCCTGAGACACTCCACGAAGTTTCTCCCTTTCCTCCTGGGAAGGCACTAGATGAATTTGTTTTATTTGGCTTTTACCTAATGAAGTAAAACTGGAAGGGAAGCATTGTCACTTGGGAAAATGGTAAAACTTTGGTATGTACAAAATGTTAACAGCAGTATCTGGTATGTATGTAAATTGTCAATGGTGATTGTCACCTTGTAATATTGTATAATTCAATTGTTTCACACCTACAGAAATTGTTTCCGGAAATATAGGGAGAAAAGGTCTCAACAGATTCCTATTGATGGAACTGTTGAGAGTAAAAAAAAAACTTTCCTACAAAGGACTGAATAGACCTAGAAATACACCTGACATTTACTAAGGTTTCTTTGACATAATACTGGAAATTTTTTTTTATGCATTCTGTCCTGAATCCACGAAATTTTTGTTTTGTTTTGTTTTGTTTTGAGTAACCAGGATCTGCAGAAAGGTTGCAATTTTTTTCCAGCAAAGCTGACTTGTCACATTTTCTCTCCCCTTGATACCAACACAGCATACAAATAGTGGTAGTAATTTTGCTACTTATCTTAGAGTCTGTTTTTGCATAACTTCCATAGGGATTTTGTCTGTTTTAACAAAAAAATTGGACGCGAGTTTGATTGTGTGGCTTTGTGTGGAGTTCTTCCGGAAAGTTGAAAAAGAGCTGAACCAAGAAGAGGAGAACCTGTTTGCCTTGTTTGTAGGGTTCCAGAGACCTCCAAAGAAGGTGAGGAAGCTTGCCTCCATTGGCAGGACTGGACAACCCCGGCCAACGAAAATGCCCTGGTACCCTCGAGAAGAGGAAAGCCCAGGTGGAGTCTGATGAGACCAACTTTATACCTGAAGCATGCATCGACTGGATGCCACCGGTTCGCTCTGATCCTGTGTGGAGTATTTCAACAAAGCCAGCTAAAAAAATGCTGTTAGTTATTTCTACCCTGTGATTTTATGCAAAAATAGGAAAAATGGTTTAAAGGTAGATTTAATTTGCAAACTTTTGCTATGCTGTTAAAGTTTGGGATCAAGGTTGAGAGAATTCGTTTTTGCATAAGTTGAACCATTTTAACATTTTTTTCCCTGTGATTTTGATATATTTGCTATCTTGTTTTAGCCAATGCTCCAGATTTTTTTTTCTTTTGGCTTGGATAATGGACTATTTTAAGTAATGAAACTGTCATACTGGACATTCATGGACAATGCTGCTGACTAATTGTTGCTTCTCTTACACACATTGTAACCCTGAAAAAAGACTGTCTCCTAAGATTACACCCTGAGATCTGTGCCACCATAGATATGGTGGAATAAAAATTAAAAGGGGGATTGTAACAGGGTGGTCCCCAGGAAAGGGGGAGGTTCCCTGCCCCACCCAAGGGAGGGTGGAGCTGAGCAGGAAGAGGAGAAGCTGAAAAAGAGACTGAGGAAGGAAGCAGGATGGAGCCAGGAGACCTGGAGGAGGCGCATGGAGCCTAGAGACACGTAAAGAAACTGCGCTTGTCTTTTGGTCGTGGACTGGGTGACACAGATGTGGGTGAGACCTGTGGGGAGGTGACAATGGCAGCTTTTATCTTGATGTTGATTTTGCTCTTTTCCTTCCGGGCTTGTCTGGTTGTTTGTGACCCTTTTCTGTGGGTCCCCACTGGAAGATGCTTTAGACTTGTAGCAGGCTTTGGGGCCTTGTTCTGGGCCGATCCCATATGGATGGACTTTTACCCACGAGGGGACGGGTAACTTTGGGTGCTTCATTTAGAAACTAGACTCTTTGCCTTACCTGTATTGTTTCCTAGTTGTATTAAAGTTCCTTCCCATTAAAGTCTCATATGTTTTGTGTTGATGCGGCGGATGGCAGAACCCATTTAGAATAGGCAGGTTTGCGGGGCTTGGGCTACCCATCTCCCTGTCCTATAACAAAATGACTTGCTATAGAAACATTTAAGGTTTGTGTCAGTAGTGGACTTATGCAAAACCAAACTTTAATTTACATCTGCAATAAGGACTCAAGTATCCTTAAACTGCTCTCACTAGTTTTTGATGACAAGTTAAGGACTGTTTATATAATCTAAAATCTTTGGTGTTTTTACCCTCAGGTTACATGAGAAAAACTCTTTTCCTATCAGCATTGCTGAGCCTCATCAAAGAAAGAGCTCTATTCTTAAAAAGCCTTATACTCTGAGTAATTAGCTATTTTATAAAAATCTGTAAGTCTGTTAATCATATGACAAATTCCTTGACACCAAAAATTCGAAAATATTAAAGTCTTTGTCCTAAAAAGTGTTTTCCTTGAAAAAACTAATTGGTTCAATCTGGGTATATTGATAAAAATACATAACACATTAAATTTTAGTCTTCCTTCCTATTCCTCCCTATTCCTCTATGGGGACAGGGCATCATAACCAAATTCCAAACTAACAGCCCATTGGCTCTTCTAGCCACTGCTACAAAAGGTTGAAATGTTACAGGGCAGCCCCGATATAAAACGGGTTGCCTGGCTGTGGGTCCTCACCCCCGTGCTTAACAGGGACTTATTAATACTCCACTGCAGGCACACTCAAAGGTTAATAAAAGGTTTATTTACAAGGGAAAAGGAAATAAGGAAAATGTACAACTCAGGGAGAAAATAGGGAAATTAAGTCTTAAATGCGTCCTACCTGATCCTTGAACCTGGAAACCCAATGGCACTCTGAGAGCTGCTGGAGAGCAGCAAGCTGGGGGAGAGCCAAAAAGTAGTCCTCCCCAGGATCTCGTGTCTGGTGTTATACCAAACCTGACTGCTTAGCTCCACCCTCAGGTCCCAGCCACCTTCCCTTTGGTGGTGATGGGATTTGTCTTTCCCAATGTCCTGATGGCTTTGGTCTGGAGTGGGGGTGGGGTCCACAAAGCCTGTATGGAATTAGCTCAGGACATCCTTTCCCCCTAACAGAAATAATAGAGGCCTCAGGTCTCCACCATAATGGTATTTGACAAATAGACATTATATTCATGTCTTTAAAGACATCTACTCTGCATTAATTCAAGCCTCGGCCCAAGCAGGGTAAACTGTTAAACATACTAAAATACAAAACAAACAAAAAAACCCACCTTTTATCTGCCATTGCAGGGATGGGAATCCCATCACCAATAAAAGCTGATAATGGACCTGCTTCCATCTCCAAAGTCTTTAACTCCTCCTGCTAGTTTGGAATATTCACCATGTGCCTGGCGTCCCTGGTAACCCTACCGGATGAACTTAACTCTTTATAGTTAAAAGAGCCAATAGGCTCCTGAAAACACAACTTATTAAACAAAAAGTGGTAATCTAAAGAGCAAGTTGCCCCCACGGGAACAAATATATAAAGCTCTATTGACTTTAAACTTCCTAAACCGCCACCCCTCCGCCCTAACAGCTGTGCGGGCATCTCACTCCTGCTGAGCTGGACGAGACCTGCGGTTGGCACCGACCCCGCCGCCAGGACCAGCCTGGCCGGGCCTGTCCCATCCCTGACCCGGGATGGGGCGCTGCTGTCTGTGCCCCAAGCACAGGCTGTGCGCCCTGACCAGGAGTTGGGTCCACCAGGGGTGAACCCCGCTTCGGAGACTCACCCCAGCGCCGGCTCCGCGTCTCCCCACAGCCCCAGGGCGCGGGCGGGGACCTGGGCAGCCGCACCCGCCGGTGCTTCCCGCGCTCCCGGCTGCCCTTGGCTGTTGGCGGGTCTCCGCGGGGTCCCCGCCTTGCTCTGGGGGCGCCGAGTCTGTTATGATCCAGCGCCCTTGGCTCACGGCCGTGGCGGGTCCCCACAGCGCCCCTGGCCGCAGGTGTGGCCGCTGAGGCGCCTCCCTTCTGCTCGCGTCCTGCGGGTCCCGCGGCGGTTCTGGTTTCCTCCCCTTCTGCGGGGCGGGGCGCGCTGGAGTTAATGGTGGGGGAGGCGCCGGGGTCTGCTGCTCGCCTCTCTCCGCCTCTGTGCCTGCAACTCTCCTCTCCGGGCCGTTTGCCGCGTCGCCGGTTTCTCTTGCGGGTCCAGGTTCTCAAGGGACCTGCCGCCCTGTCTCCCTCGTGTTTCGTGGGAGAACTCTCTCGCAGCGCGTCTCCCCGCCGCGTGGATGCGCTGACTGGTCCCCAGATCCGATACTTGCCTCACCCCCGCCTCCCGGGGGCCAGGGAGGAGGAAGAGGACCTTGCGGGCTCAATGGGGCATCCGCTGGACCCTCCTGGGTTGATCTAAAAAAGTGAAGAGAAAAATGAAAAAAAAAAAACTTTCAGTAAGGGAATGAGAAGGGGGAACAGCTGCTGGAGACCAGCTCCAGCTACATGGCGTGTCAGGGGCCTCAGAAAGGAGAGGACGCGTCGGTGAAATCTTGAGGGGCTGAGGGGAAGTGGAGTGAGTTAGGTGAGGTAGTGAGGAGACACTGACACTCTCTCTGGTGCAAGTATCTCCTCCCGAGGGGCTCAGCAGGTCTTTATCCTTAAGGGGAGATGACATCAGCATAAGCATCAAAGCAGAACAGAGACAATCATTACATATTTTCTCATGAACATGCAGAGACCCTCTTGATCTCTCAAAAGGACACTTCTTTAATATGATTAAGAAAAACAACAGGGACAATTACTCTCCTTAGTACAACTCATTTTCCTGCATAATTGATTGTCTAAGACAGTACAATGTTCAGTAACAATCAATCATCCTGTCAAGCCTTCCTAATTTTGGGTGGACATGAAAGTCCATTGTTATGCTATGTTACTAAAATCAACCCATTCCCTAGCACTCAATTCATCTACCCTATTTATCAATTACTTCAAAGTGGTCTAAAGTAACTCATCAGTACTGTTTTAATTTTACAGAAGTCTAACTTTTAACTAGAAATACCTAACCTCCACACAACCTGCGAACTGTTGACCTTTCACATACACCAGGAAATGCTCTGTTGGGGCAAACACACCACCCCCACGTTAGGCTCTGGTTTCCAAGCACAACTGGTTCAGGGCAGCTTGTTCTCCATAGTTCTCAGGACCAAAACATTTCTTTCCTAACTGTACTTTTAGCATTTTGTACCTTCTTTGATAATGATTCAAGTGTAAGAACAATAAATCAATTAACGTCTGGGTCCGAATAGAGTTTTCACAGGCCAGTTAATAACTAACTTACTTTAGCATTAACCAAGAACAAAGAGGAGACCATTGGCAGGCGTTGCCATGGAGACTCCCTAGTTCAGATCTTCTTGGGAAGTGCAAGAACTCCCTCTTCTGGGAAGTACAACTTCCCTCTTCAGGGGAGCACAGGAACTCCCCTCTTCTTGCAAGTCTCCCCCAATACCCAGAACTTGTCAAGAGACAGCATGGGTAGGGCAGCCTGCCACAAACAGCCAGGACAGGAGTTGTGTTTTTAAGGATTTAAGAGTAAGGAGGGCCAACTCATGAGTGAGCCCAGCACTCCATGGTGTTACATAACCACTGAGACTAGGGGATTCAAGGAGCATTGTTCAGCTTTGGCTTGAGGGGTGTTGTGGTTCCATCAGGAAGAGAGGAGTTTCCTTTAATTGCACCCTAAGAGGGGTGGCGAAGACACCTCAGCCTGGCACTGTAGTTCCCCAACCACCTGGAGGGATTGCAGCATCAGTGAGAATTAGGGCTTGGTGTTATTCCTGTCTTGTGTAGAAGCAGCTGGGAGAGCCAATCCTGGCTGGCGAGGCTGTTAGTTTGGATTTAGTCACCATGCCCTGTCCTAATAGAGGAAGCTAGGAAAGCAAGAAGAAAACATAAACATGTGGCCTTGTAGTGAGCAAAGAAACAGTGCTGTACAGTGTCCTGGCTCAGGGTGGCCATCAGTACTAGTGAGGGGAACAATCGATCAGTAGGTCAGTCCAAAGATTGCAGCAAGGCAGAGTAAATGGCCCATTATTTTCAAAAAGATGGTATTTTTGTCTGCCACTTCTATGGTCACCCGAGGATTATCCATAGAAGTTAAACAGGAGTTCCTGTCTCACCTCTGGGCTTCTTCAGAGAAGGTCTCTTGCACCAGGTTCTCCATAGTCAGAGGCAGCTGACCATCAAGACTGTCCTCCCATCCTGGCCTCTGTTTTGGGCTGGTCCCTCCCTCTCTGGAGAGTGGGACAGTCCCTCTTTTCAATGCCCTGTGTGATGGCACTGAGGGCATGGCCCTGGGGGCAACTTCCTTCCCCTGAGTTGTCCAGGTTGCTGGCAGTGGAAGCAAACTGGCAGCCCATTAAGAGGTTGAGGCACGCGAATGCCCTGAGGCGCATGGGGACTTGGGTGAGTGAGGGAACAGGGCCTTGACAATGGCAACTGCCATATACTGGGCCATTCTCTTGTCTTTCTCCCTCTCCTTTTCAGTCTAGCAAGTCCCCTCCATGTCATTGTAGCCTGAAGGCTATGTCCAAAGTGTTAGAAGGATCTCAGGCCTTAATTTAGTCTCTGAGTCTGCACCTGGTGTCAGAGCAAGGCTGGCTAAGAAAGGAGACCGCTAAAATGCTTGTCTTTTTCTGCATCTGCCAGAAGCCAGTTCTGGCAAACTGTCCTGTCAGGGGTTCCCATAGGATGAGAAGGCATGGAAGAATCGGAGGGATTAGGGGGGAGGGGGAGTGAGGACATGCAAACACTTGATCTGGGAGCAGACATCCTGCTGAGGGTCTCAGCAGCCCTTTATTTTATGTTTACAAGCAAACCTTGAGAGTACAAAGCATATGTTTTAGAGCAAGAAGATAACGATCATTACATTTTCCTCTAGAACAGCCAGAGGTTTATTTGCCCTTCAGCAGAGGTTGTAACATTCTTTATTTTGAAGAAGGCACAGTTGCTAAACAAAAGTGTTCTTAGAATAGTCATTTATCTTAAACAATCATTTTATTACTAGCAAAAACTTATGTGACTGAAACTAACATTTCTATGTTTACTATGGTGAAGGATTAACTAAGGGCTAGGGGAAACAAAGGACAGGGTGTTACCTGGGGAAGGGAGACAGAGGGATTTTTTTCTAACTAACCTATAAAGTTTAGACTAACATATAATCCTATGATTAAAGCAAAAACAGAAGGCTTTTATATAGAAATCATCATCTAATAGTATATTGTTTTAATAAGATATTGATTCAGTATTAAGGAACCAAGGGCCTGGAGGGCGTCAATGCCAGACAAGCCACACTGACTCTTCCCTAGCCCCAAGCTCTCCATTCAGGGAGAATTCTCCTAATCTAACAGAAGAGTTTTTCTACCTATTACTCCTATACTTATCTAGTCAGGCTAGTTTCCGTATCTAACTTGAAGATCAAGGGAAAATTCCTTTTTCTGTAAGATTGCTGATTGTTGTTTTAAGGAACTACAAATATTTCATCAGAGGCAGGGCCAGAGATGGTTATAGCTTTTGGTTCTCAGAATGGTTAATACGTGACGTATCAGTAGTAGTAACATTGACTATTCCCAAGTGCATTATTTGTGCTGTCAAGGTTATTAGCTTGACCAGTCACAAAATTGTTGTTGGCTTACTCTTGAATGCATACTCCAACAGCTACCACACCCATTGTCACTGAAAGGGAACTGTTAAGGAAAAGGGAATCTTTCCTGTTAAAAGAGCCATAGACATGGACATGTAAGTAAAAGACAAGTTTGCTTCCTTATAAGCATATCTAAACAAGGCCTGGCAGCCTGCTAGACTGGTTGTTCTCCTAGGCCAGTCTCAAAGATCTGCATCCTTCCCCTTTTCCTGTGTCAAGAATTTGTATGCTAACTAACCAATGTTATCAATAAATCACGCAGTGCCATTTGCCTTCAAATTGGTTATTCAGTAATTGATCAAACAGCATTTGCAGTTTTACTTTTAAATATGTATTTTGACAATTGCCATATATGGTAGAAACCAGCCATAAACAAATTAGAAGAATCTAGCAGGAGTTACCTAAGGAGATTCCTGACTTTTCAGGAATCTGCCCCATGCCGGGACCTTTGTCAGACTACATGAGTAGCATGGCTCCCAGCATGGGTCTAGATTAGTATACTTTTTTGTAGCCTCAGCAAATTTAGCCTGAAATGATGTGGAATTTTTGGGGCTTTTGAGTAACTTTTCTCAGCCCTTTTATAATTGACTGGCTGATTAGGTTTTAAGTCTTATGTATTTAGAACAATCTCATTAGTTAACATTTTGTTGAACAGTGTAACATTATGAGAATACTTCCTGTGAGTAATCCATGAGGGAATACTTACTGGTGCGTGTTGTTGGGGGAAAAAGGCGGTCCAAAGCAAATTCCATACAGGCTTTGTGGACTCCACCACCCCCCAGGTCAGCCAAAGAGCACTGGGACTCCAATCCCATCACCACCAAAAGGAAGGTGGCTGGGACCTGAGGGTGGGTTAAGCAGCCAGGTGGATACAAAAGGCAGACACGTGGACTTTGGGGGCTCTCTCCATTTTTGGGCTCTGGGCCAGCACGGAGCCTCCGGCCAGCTCTGGGAGTGACTTTGGGTTTCCAGGTCTTTCGGATCGGGTAGGACGCATTAAAGACTTGATTTCCCTATTTTCTCCCTGAGTTGTACATTTCCTTATTTCCTTCCTCTTGTAAATAAACTTTTATTAACCTCTTTTTGTGTGTGTCTGTAGTAGAGTATTCATATCCCTTTGTTATAGGACAGGGAGAGGGGCAGCCCAAACCCCGCAAACCTGCCTATTCTAAATGGGTTCTGCCATCCGCCGCATCAACACAACATATGACACTTTAATGGGGGACTTTAATAAAAACTAGGAAACAATACAGGTGAGGCAAAGAGTCTAGTTTCTAAATGAAGCACCCAAAGTTACCCATCCCCTCGTGGGTAAA